ATCCTGCTGGATATCAAATGGCTGCTGGTTATGGGACCCCCTGGAGCCCCTCTCTCCACACCTGTGTCCTCCTGACCCACAGCCTGTGGGTTCATCCACGTCCTTCCCAGGCAACTTTGGGTTTGGAGGTGCTGCTCCACCTTTACACGCTGCTGTGCTCCCTCCCTACACCTGCTGGAGGGAGAGATGCTCTTCACTGTCCCCTCTCCACACCTCTCCCAATGTCACTCCAGCCTCTCTCCCAACCATCACCAGCAGGAGAAGCACAAAAACTCATGGCCCAGGGAGCAGGGGGTGTTTCCCAGGCACTTTGTGTCCCCAAGCAGTGAGCCTTCCGGTCATCCATGTGTCAGCTGTGTCCAGGCTGGTGACACCCTCACTGTCACCGTGCCTGGGGATGTTCAGTGCTGTTGAGATGCCACCTCCATGTCTGGCACATATTCCCTTGTGTTCCAACCCCCACACAGCTCCTAGCATGGCTCTGGTGTTTGGATGTGGGTGGGAATGATCCCAGAGGTGACACAGACCTCTGTCCCACTCTATGTGGTCTCTGGGCCACCTGTGATTCATTGCCATGGGGTGGCTGGAACCAAGTGAGCGGGCAGGAGGTGGGTGAAGCAGCAAGAAGGTGACAATTCCTGCTGCATTTGGGATCCTGGGATGAAAAACAACCCCTGCCCAACATTCTCCTACTCCTTTCTTATTCCACTTAGCCTGTCCATGCATTGGAGACAGACAGATTTGTAAACCTGTGCCTAAAATCTTTAAAATCTTGTGCCTAAATCGTTAGGCACAAGAGTGAACAGCCCCTTTCTTCCTCCTTGGCCACCCCAATGTGACTTGGCCAGGGCTGCTCTTCCAGCACGGATAGTTCTCAGTCTGTGTTTTGGAGCACAAGGCCCAGCTGATTTGGCCCTGGCAGGTTATCCTCATAGATGGGAAGATGTGAAATTCCTTAGGGATCTAGGTGTGTGTGCTTATCTTCATCATCAAAGAGCCATGGGGAGCAGTGTGGGCTGGTTCTATGCTCCTTTTTGCAGATGGTGTCTCCAAATTAGGGTACTGATCCCCCTCACAGCCTTGGGGAGGGGGCACAGATCCATCCATCAGCCTCTATGTGCTCCAGAGTCAAATGGGCAAAGGTGGCCAGTGAGGGGATTCTGCCAGTGGCCACCTGCCCGTGGCACTTTACCGGGTGGAACTGTGTCACCCCTCGTTCCCACGAGAGGGGACAGAGCTGTCCCTCTCCCGGAGCCATGGGGGGTTCCCTGCCAGGTGGGCAGGAAATTGCACCCAGTGCTTTGAATTTCTCTGGAAAGAGAGAAACTTCCTCAGATGTGGCAAAACGACAGCGAGGGGTTTTGCTATGGAAATGAGGAGTCGTGTGTCCCGCAGGGCTGGGGGCTCCTGGGGTCTCGCTGGGCTCCACCTTTGTCCTCGCTGGCATCTGCTTGGCGGATGCCAGGGCTGGGTGCCACCGGCACCAGCAGATCGGGAACTATGAGCCCCCTGCAGGAAACTGGGAAATAAAGGAAAGCAGAGAAGGACAATTTAACATCCAGGAATGGAAATGACTCAGGGGGGTTAAAATGTGGGGAAGGTGAGGAAGAGGAGGGTCCTGGCTCTGTTTCCAGCCATGCTTTTCCCCTCCCGAAATTCCTAAGAAGAGGCTTTGTGAAGGTGCCTGTGGCATCACCTCCCTGGGTGTCTGTGTGATGGAGAACTGTGGCAGAAGTTGCTGGGAGTGGGGATGTGTCCTGAGTTATCCCGGTGCTGGATTTGGGATGTCCCAGCTGCACAAGAAAAGAGAACCCAGGATAAGGTGGTAGAGAGCAGGGGGAGAAGGAGGAGCACCCCAACCTTCAGTAACCCTCACCTGGGGTCAGCTCCAGCATCCCCTCCAAAACAGAGGAATCTCAGGGCTCTGACTCTGAGACAGACATCTGAGGCATGGAGGGGCTGGAGCAATGGGACAGAGGGAGCAGTGCTGGAGTGCGACCACTTGCGACGCAGCGACCTGGTTCAGGAAAGACACGGCGACCCTCACTTGATCGCTCGGGCTATGAACTTGCAGACACCAATGTGGTAGACAGTAAATGGCATTTATTAGCTTGTAACACGGCCTTCTATAATATTTTAGCTACATTGTCACTTCCGTCTGCTTACGCTATCACCTAAGTTACTATTGGCTATCGGGCATCGGAGGGGGGATGATCCCTGGCTTTCCGTACATTCCGAAATCTTCCAAGCGCCAGACCCTGTCTGCCCACACTGGAGTCATGTCTAGGGGATGGCTCTCCATGGGAATGTCCCCATCAGCCTCTTTTGGATGGGATCAGTCCTGGTCCCCCCATTGCTCCCGCTCTGCCCCCACTGAGGCTGCTTGGGTTTCCCCCTGGATGGGGGGGAATCTTTCCCCTCCTTCCTCCACTGAGGAAGAGCTGTATCAGTCACCTGCTCATGAAGCCGCAACAAGAGGGAGGGGATTGGGCACAACCAGGAGCATGCCAATTCTACCCATCACACTGAGGAGTGTTTCCTGTTGGAGTTTTGGGAATGGAGTTCACCCTGATGCACAGCAGCACCACAGGCCCCCCACAAAGGGATCAGGCCTGGGACACCCCAAAATGATGCAGGTTTCAGAGAGAGGACAGGGAAGAGAAGTCAGGCTCAGGCCTGGCAGCTTGCAGGGGTGTTTCCAGGAGGGCAAGGATCCCTCTGGCTGGGATGCTGGGAGGAAAGGAAGGGTCGGGGCACTGCTTTGGCTCCCTGCCCATGGGCATACAGTGTCCTGGTTCCCTTGGGGGCAGCCTGGGGAATCCTAGTACTGGATTCCTTGTGTGATTCCTTGAGCTCCAGCTCTCCTTCCCAGCTGGTTGCACTTTGAATCCAGAGTTTGAGACAGAAGCAGGTACTTGGAGGGAGCTTTATCGGAAAGATTGCCATGGAGAGGTTTTGGGGCTCAGTGGTCACGGGACGCTGTCACCACTGTCACCATCACCCCGGGACATGCGCTGAGGCTTCAAACATCCTCTCCATCCCAGGCACTGCCTGCAATGCCGCAGTTATCCAGGCTGGGCACAGCCGAGGCATTTTGGGAGCCGCAGAGACAGTCGAAGTGATCTCATCCCACGGGTATTTTCTTGGCTCATTGTCTCGCTCCAACGCCTCGGCGATAAGGCGCTGAGGTCAGTGGGAGGGTTCGGCATTGCCGAGCCGTGTGTCACCCCGCAGAGCCCGGGACACGGCACCTGCGCTTCCCTGGCTCAGGCCAGAGCCCCCGGTCCCTGCCCCACAGCACAGCACAGCCGGGCCATCCCTCAGGATGCTCCCGCCCAGGCAGGGGGTCCACTCAGGCACCCTCCACCAAGCCCCCACCACTCTCTGTGGGTCCCACTAGTATTTCACCTTTTCCAGGGGAAAATGAAAAGGTTGAGGATTTTCTTACCTCCAGGATTAGAAAGAAGAGGAAACTCTTCAGATCACTTTCCAAAGGCTGTTATCAGCACAGGAGGGGTTTCCTGCTGCCAAAAATAGGGCAGTGTTAAGACAGGAAGGGAAGCAGGATGATGCAGGAATAGATAAGGCCGGTGGATGAGCTGGGAGAGGAACCCTGGCTAGGGGGGAGTGGGGCTGGCTGGGCTGGGGCTCAGGGTGGGAGCCCCATCCTCTTGGGAAAGAGCAGGGCAGAGCCACAGCTGTGTCCTATTGGAGGTGCTGCTGCTGGGCTTAGTATGTTGGAGCAGTGCATCATCCATCCATCCATCCATCCATCCATCCATCCATCCATCCATCCATCCATCCATTCATCCATCCATCCATCCATCCATCCATTCATACTCCCGGTGCTGGGCCTTGGCCAGCAGTGTTTCCAGATTCTCTGTGTTCTTGGGGACACAGGGATGCCCTGCTTTCCTCCCCACACAAGATTAGGCCCTCACTTGAGTCTCGGGACATCCCCCACACCCGCAGGTTCGGTGCCAATCCTGAACTTCCATCTGTGAAGATTTTACTTGTGACTGGTAAAACTGGGCTGAAAAATTTGCTTTTTGAGCTTCCAGGTGCTCCTTGTCCTTCCAAGCACCAATTTCATCTCCTTGTGCACCTTCTCCCCTGTTACATGTTGGAGATTTTTTTCCCACCCCCGTTTTTGGGGAATGAGCTGTGCCTGCAGCCCTGTGCCTGCTATTGCATCCTGAGGCTTGCAGGGGTTGAGACCAGAGTGGGATGGAGCAGCAAAACAAGGAGTCGAGGCTGAAAGCCACCATGTCCCCCTCTCCAGACCTGCCTCCCGGCTCAGTGCCAGTCAGAAGATTCCAAATTCCCTCACAAGAATGGGAGCTTAATGTCCTGGAGCTAATAAGCAATTTTCCCCTGCACCTGTCTCTCCATTGCTGCCTCCCCTCGGGCCATCTGCCGTCTGGGGGCCTCTGGGCTCTACATCAGGAGCTGGGGGCCGAGATGGGGTTGGTGTTTGGCTGCTTTGGGGTAGGGGGTGCTCAGTGTCCCCTCAAAGATGAGCTGGGGCCCTTTGAGAGGGGAAGAGGAGTCTGGTCCCTGATGGTTTCCTCCATCCCTGCATGCCCCTGTGGGTGGCCGAGCCCAAAAGGGGAATGTGAGGCTGGCAGAGTGGCAGGGGGTACCCAAAGGTGCCAAGTGTGACAGATGTGAGCTGGCAGGGATGTGAAGAGGGGATATGAGGACAGGGAATGTGAGGAGAGGGATCTGGGTAGGGGGAGTGACAGAAGGGGGATTGATACGAGGAGGATGTGAGGAGGGGGAATGTGAGGAGGGGGATGTGAAAAGGTGGACACAAGGAGGTGGATGCAAGGATAGGGAATGTGGGGAGGGGGACATGAGGAAGGTGATGTGAGGATGGGGGACACAAAGAGGGGGATGCGAGGAGGAGGAATGTGAGGAGGGGGATGTGAAGAGGGAGTGCAAGGAGGGCAGATATGAGGAGGGGGGATGCGAGGAGGGGGGGATGTAAGGATAGAGACATGAGGGAGGAGAGTGTGAGGAGGAGGAGGAGAGAGGGAAGGCGGGGGGGCTGTAAGGAAGCGGGACCCGCGGAGGGGGGCAGAGCAAATGGGGCGGCAGGTTTGGGGTTGCCTGGCCGCGCAGACAAAAGGCCGGGGCAGATTTACGGCCCGGGACAGCTGGCGGGCAAAGCCGCCCCCCCGCCCCGCAGCTGCCACTCCGCGCCCGGCCGGTCCCTGCGCCCGCGGCGGCCCCGGGGCGGAGCGGGGCGGGCCCGGCCCCGCATTCCGGGCATAGCAGCGCCCGGCCCGGCCCCCGGGGCCCCGGGACGTCCAGAGCCGCCACAGCTCCGCTCCGCTCCGCCATGCTCCGGTGAGTGCCGCCGCCGGGACCCCCTCGGCCCTGGACCCCCGGCCCCGGGAACCCCCGAACCGGACCGCGACCCCCTCCCCGAATCTAGATGCCCCCGGAAAAAGGACGCCCCACTGCACAGGGAACCCCCCAGCCGAGATCAAGACACCCCCCCTGGACCGGGATCCTCCCGATCGGGACCGGGACCCCCGGGCACCGGGAATCACCCGACCGGGAGTGGGACTCCCCCGGACTGGGGGACCCCCTCGGCACCGGCACTCAGCAACCGGAATCGGGAGCCCCCCCGCCTCGGACCGGGATTACCCTAACTAGGACCGAGACTCCCTCCGGCACCGGGAACCCCCCAGCTGGGATCCTCCCCGGGACCAGGATCTCTCCCAGTAAAAGGACGCCCCCCGGCACCTGGACCGTCCTCCCCGGGACTGGGACACCCTCTGGGACCGGGAGCCCCCCCAGCCGGGATCGGGACTCTCCCCAGGAACCGGCATTCCCCCAGCCGGGACCGAGACCCCTCCCGGCACCGAGAGCCACCCACCCGGGATCGGGCCCCCCGCCGGCATCTAGAACTCCCGGAAAAAGGATTCCCCCCAGCACCGGGGTCCCCCCTAGGCACCGTGATGCCTCCAGGCACCGGAAGATCCGGGGGGAATCCCAGGAGCCCCCAGGACCAGAACCCTGCCCGAGATTGGGACATCCCTCGCACGTCCAGGACCTCCATGTCCCGTGTCCGCAGGGGGTATGTGGGGGGGATCCTCCCCGCCTCCCGGTGGCTCCGTGGCTGGTCCCGTGGGGCCACTTCCCCCATTCCTGGGCCAGCGCTGGTCCCAGATGCGTGGGGATCCAGCCCTGGAGTCAGCCCTAACTCCCAAACTGGCCCCAGTCCCGGTCCCAGTTCCGGCCATGGGAGTACTGAGAGCACCAGCCCTCAGCCACCCCACCGCGGAGGCTGCTCTGCGCTCCCACCGCCGCCACGGGCTCCCACCCATCCAGCACGTCCCGGCCAGATTCCTAGCAAACAATCCCACGTCCATCAGGATCCACGCTGTGTCCTGCCCCGGCTGCTTCCCAACAATCCCGGTTTTCCCTCTCGCAGGTGTCCCAGTTGCTGCTGAGGTCCCCCGGGACGTCCCTGTCGGGTGGAAACGTGGCTCTGCCGCCGGCGCGGACGGACATGAGGACGGCAGAGGACTCGAACGGGACGGTCCTGCACCGACTGATTCAGGAGCAGCTGCGCTTTGGGAACCTCACGGAGAACCGCACGCTGTTGGCCATCCAGCAGCAGGCCCTGCGCGGCGGCGGGGCCGGGAGCCCCCGCTCCTCCCTGGAGAGCCTCAGCCCCGAGGAGAGCCAGATGGTGCAGCAATCCACGCGGCAGGAGCCTCAGGGCCAGGAGCACCACTCCGACCACGTCTACTTGGAGAACAGCGTCTATCGGCTCTGCCCGCCCAAGGGCGAGGAGCTCCCCACCTACGAGGAGGCCAAGGCGCATTCCCAGTTCTACGCCTCGCAGCGGGGAGCAGCCGGCGCCGTGATTCGGGGGGAAAACCCTCCGCGCAGGGCCGAGAGCGGGGTCCGGCGCGCCGATGAGGGGCTGAAGGAGCTGAAGCACGGCCACGTGCGGTCCCTGAGCGAGCGGCTCATGCGGATGTCGCTGGAGCGGAACGAGGCCACGGCGCAGAGCCCCATCAGCGCTTCCCACAGCTTCCCGCAGCTCTCCCGGCACCACCAGCTCGGCGCCCCGCGCGGCCAGCACCCCGAGGGCACAGAGCCACGGGGACCTCCCCCGGAGTATCCCTACGTCATCCCTTCCCAGGACGCTTACCTGGCCGAGCCCCGCCCCTGCTCCCGGGAAGGTCCTGGATTCCGGCATCCCGAAATCAGGTAAACTGCGGCCCCTGGGACACGCTTTTGGATGCCTGCCAGGAACGTCCAAGGATGGATGCTTGGAATTTGTGGAATGCAGAGAGCAGTGGGGAGCCTGGGGCAGCCACTCTCCTCCTCATCAGCTCAGCCCATGGGGATCTGCTGGGACCCCTCTGCTGGGACCCTTCTGCTCCGTTCTTCTCCCCAGTTCCCTCAGCACGGTTGGGTTTTTCCAACCGGTGATGAAAATCCCACTGCCTCTGCAGAGCCTTCCCCCTCCCTGTGCACCAGGAGGAATTTGGGGGTAATTTAGGAGCTGCAACCAGCTCAGGAAACAGCTAAATGTGGAACAGGCATGGGGAAGGGTGGAAGGCAAATGTGCTCCCTGTTCTGTGGAATGCCACCCCATGGTCCTGAGCTGGGAATGTCCATGTAACACCAGTTTGCTGCTGGGATTGCTGCCGAGCAGAACCTGGGCTGGTGCCGGGTGATCCATGGTCCTTTGGGTAGCTTGATGCCTCTGGCAAAGCCCCAGGTTGACTATGAGGTGGACACAGAGAGGTCTGGGTAGCTGGGCATCGCTTAGAATTTGAGGAGGGCCTAGAAACAACCTCTTCCACTGTGGAAAATGATGGGAAGAAGGGAATTGGAGGCTCGATGGGAGGACACACTGCTCCCAGCCCTGCTGACCTATCCAGGCAGAGTGCGATAGCATCTCCAACAGGAAAACCTTCTCCTTCCAGGGAACAAAGAGGGGAAGGGGAACTGCGAGGAAGATGTATTTATTCTTCCTCGCTCCTATATCATCCTGCAGGAATGCGGGCCCTTGGCAAGCAGCCCGTGGGGGAGTGGAGCAAGGCTGGGCCACGCACAGCCACCCTGCCCAGGGGTTTCCAGGCAGGATGGCAAGGCACTCAGGGCAGTGGCGTGAGGGGCGTCCGGGCTAGGCTGGATCCTCTGAATACAGAGAGGATGAATACATAGTTTGGCAGCGAGGAGCTGTGCCAGGAGCCCTCGCTTTGCCCAGAAAACAAGGAAAAGGGGCAACAATGCTGGCTTCCAAGGTGCATCCTATGTGGGTCTGTCTGCAACATTTCCAGGAACAGGGGGGCCTGGGAGCCCATCCAGGCCCACTGACCAGGTCCTGGAGGGGTCAGGTCAAGGCATCCCTGCCAGATGGGATTTGTGGTTAGAAAGCAAGTGCTTCCCACCTCTAAAAAGCAGGATAGGCACTTCCCAGAGCCTCCCTTCTCCTTTGGGGTGACCCAGAGGCACCGACACCCTCTTGGCCTGTGGGTTTGCAGCAGTTGGTGGGTTGCCAGTGGTTGGTGTTGACAGCCTTGGAGGTCTTTTCCAACTTGAATGAGTCCATGGTACTGTGCTGGACTTGCAGTTGGCTCTCCCGTTCCTCCAAACCTTGACCACCCCTTGTCCCTCCCTCCCTTCCCGCAGGGTGCTGCCCACCCCTGTCCCGGCCACGTTCCTGCCACTGTGCCCAGGCACACTGGGTCCGGCAGGTGTGGAGGCCCTAGTGAGCGCCCAGGCAGTGTCGGCCGGGAGCCGCTTGGCCCGGGCGGATGCAGTGCTGCGGGAGAATGAGAGGCTGCAGCGGGAGAGCGAGAAGCTGCGGCGGGAGCTGGAGAGCTGTGCCGAGAAGGCAAACCGCATCCAGAAGGTGAGGGGATGGTGGCAGCCCCGCATCCCTCCCTGCCTCAGGGGGGACGCTCAACCAACTGCTGTGAAAATTCACCCCTTTAGTGGTTTAATCTCTTCTCCTCCTCCCTCCGGCTGGTTGTTCCCCTTGGAGCAGCTGCAGTGTGGCAGCGGGGGTTGGGGAGAAGGAGCCCATTCTCTGGTGACCCCCTCCCTCTGCCTGTCTTCCCCATCCCGGCTGCCACAGAAAGCCTTTTGTGCGGCCAAGTACAAGGGGCGGCTGTTCCCTGTGGCCAGGCTACAGCAGAGCCAAAATCTGCAGAGAGCCTCGTCCACAAGAAAAAAGACAGGAAAACTCAGTTTCCCTCCTAAAGCAAGTTCTGGGAGTCATTTTGTGGGGTCCCGTGTGCTGAGCTCCTCTGGCAGCATTGGTGGTGTCTCCCTTTTCTTTCCTCATTCCACGGGTATCTAACCCTGGCCTGTCCCTTCTTCCACACCAGCTGGAGAGCGAGATCCAGCGTATCTCGGAGGATTATGAAAACCTCGTGAAGGCATCTTCCAAGAGGGAAGCCTTGGAGAAAACCATGAGGAACAAGAGAGACAGTGAGATGAGGCGGCTCCAGGACTTCAACCGGGACCTGAAAGGTGAGGGACCCAATCCATGTACCCATCCCTGTGGGTGCTCTATGTCCCATGGGTGTTTCCATGGGAAAGAAGGCTTGTCCTACTTCCTCCAGCGAAAATCTCATATTTAAATCTTAATTGGGTTTAATTGTTTTGGACCAGAGCGGTTGGAATCAGCAAACAAGCAGCTGGCCAGCAAGGCCCAGGAAAGCCAGGAGAGCAATCAGGGCAGCGTGGCCAAACTCCTGGCGCAGAGTAAGTCCTGGGGGACACCCGTCCCTGTCTGGCTGCCTGTGGCATATGTGAGTGGGACAGCGGGGCTCAGCTGGAGGGGGAGGAGGAGGCGGGTGGTGGGTGGCAGCCTTTCCCCAGGGAGGATGGAGCAGCTTTTGGCGCTGGACTCGAGCCATTAATCCTGGCCCGCCAGCCTACGGTGTGACCCGCATTCCCCACATTCCTGCCGCTGTGCTGGCTCTTCCAGCACCAAGCCAGCACTCCTGCCCCACGCCAGCCTGGCCATTCTCTCCCTCCTCCCTCCCACACCTCTCAACTGTCCCAACCTGCACTGTTTTTTTTGGAAAATATACCTAAATCGTTATTTTAGCAGAGAGACGTGGTATTAGTGGGAGGAATTGCATCCCCTTCCCTAAGGTGGCTGGATTCACACCAGGCAGGTTTCACCCTTCCCGAGCCAACATTTAGGCTGGAATGTGGCAAGTGGAGGCTTTTGTCCATCTGCCCAAGTGCCTGGGCCGCCCCTGACCCCCATGTGGTAGACGATTTCAGAGGAAGGGTGGCATGGCCAGATTTTGGAGAGGAAAAAACCCCTGCAGAGCTTCATGGGCCAGCCTTAGGGAAGCAGAACCTCTGAGATTTGGGGGTGTTCTCTTTCAGGCTATGAGCACCAGCAGGAGAAGGAGAAGTTGGAGCGGGAGGTGTCCCTGCTGCGCAGTGCCAACGAGGACCAGCGGCGGCGGGCAGAGCTGCTGGAGCAGGCGCTGGGCAGTGCCCAGGCACGGGCGGCCAAGGCCGAGGCTGAGCTCCGGAAGAAACGAGCCTATGTGGAGAAGGTGGAGCGGTTGCAGGCAGCCCTGGGGCAGCTCCAGACCGCCTGTGAGAAGCGGGAGCAGCTGGAGCTGCGGCTCCGCACCCGCCTGGAGCAGGAGCT